AAGTTCCTTTAAGCTCCTTGACAATAAATTCAGTAAAATACATAGTTACCGGTATTCCAAATTTGGATTTTGCAACAAATAAGTCAACGTATTTCCAATCTGCTTGGTGGACAGTTCAGGTGCTACTAAATAAATAAACTTGAATAAATTTATCATCTTAAACAATCCTGTGCATAAACTATAGACAACTTACATCCATTTGTAAATATCCATTTACCATTGCTGTAACATCCAGATCCCACTATTGTAGAAGCTAAAACACGAACATAATATTTCGTCCCTGGTTTCAAATTATTTATGTCCAAACGCTGTTCCTCGATCATATACTTTATTGAACAGATTTCATTCTCCAAATGTGTAATACAAACAGTGTAATTGACTATCTTTCCATTCGTTTTGTTCTTATCTGGTGGCTCCCACGTAACTGATAACGATGAGCTACTTAAGGCGACAATTTTAACATTTAAAGGTGGACCTTCGGGAACTAAACAAAAATAAAAACATATGTTTTAAAGATTCATGCAAAACATTAAAAACACATTAGAAAGAAGTCCCAACAAGTGTACACTGTCGTTAACTTAAATTTAATACAGTATAAGAAAAGCATGACTGAAATAAATGTCGACCAGAAAAGATTTGAGCTTTCAAAAGTCGTCCACGACAATAACACCATCAATGCAATAACAGACGATATGTACAAACAAAAACTGATATGAACTCACCATCTTCAGCTGTTCTAAAAGTAGCTGTAGTTGATCTACCAAAGCCTTCAGAATTGCCAGCGGTTACATTAACTGTATACGTTGCGTAAGGAACAATATTCGTAATGTTGTACGGTTTTTTGTCAGTTACCTCCAAAGTTTTATTAAAAACAATCATAGTATCCTTCAGCAAAATTAATAGATATCTTGTAAGAGGATTCGAGATATTTGTACCAAGTTTTACACCAGTTTTTTGGGGATGTTTCCATGATATCTCGAGGTACGTCGATGCAGATTTGGTTGCAATGAGATCTGTTGGTTTGTCTGGGAGTAAATCTGCACGATAAAAGAAAAATCTACAAATTGAATCATGTGTAGCCCTTAAATGAAATCAGTCTTTCTGCTTTTTCTTCAATAACACGTGTTAAACTTAACTGCATTTTGAAAAGGCTTGTTTTAATAAGTTTATTTCATTAGAGAAAAAATTTTAACACTTCAGCCTTCATGGAAAATTGTTCACTTTTGTCAACAAACACTTATTTAATTAATTCTCAGAGAAAAAAACTTTATGTGTTGAGTAATTAAGTGCTTACAGTGCAAAGTAAATCTGGTAAATTTTTTTCACCTCTTACCTCCACCACAAATTTCAATTGTAAACACGGTGCACCAACAAATTTCAATGGAAAGATTTGCAAAGCTTTTGATTTAAAGCCACCAGAAAACTTGATTATAGCCGCATCATTGTAACTATTTTTGTTTCCTAGATTAATCTGGAATAAAACAAAAAAGCAGATTTTCGTGTAGTTGCAGAGCAAGGTTAGAGAAAAGCCAGGTTTGTTTAACGCAGTCCAGAGGAGAGTAGTTTATGCATTGTCTATGTATCTCTTCAAATCATGCACATAGCTACAATTTAAACTTTATAATCAAATTCAAGATTCTTTCGTAGTGCTGGAGTAACTAAGACAATTAACACAGTGATGTAGCTAGCCCACAAATTTGGTCGTGCTATATGTAAATTTTTCAGTGCTCACTTACTGTAAAAACTATGGATCTCTAAAGAAATGAATAATGATAATGATCTGAAATTTACATAGAACCAGCAATTTTGCGTGCCGGCTACACCACTGAATCAACATCTGCACACAAGCTTGTATATAAATAGCAATTTAAAAGTTTACTTAGTTTATAAATTCATTCCTTTTTTAAATTTTTCATTAAATTTATAGTATACAAATTCGATAATTCTACCGTTACCTTCTGGGTTTTCAGATTTCCAGTTCACACCATCAATGTTTGTCTGCAAGTGATATTTAGTTACAAAGCTTGAACTTGAACTGTCTCCAAAGATAGCGATAACGTTAACTGTATAAAGACTCGGGAAATTCAGTTGAAGATAATGATTGCCATCTGCAGCAGGAGCACACCATGAACTACCACTGGATATTCTTGCTTTAGAAGCACTACGACTCTTTGGGAAGGCAGTAAACCAAGAATCTGGAATATTTCTGCGTTTTTAATAGAGGATTATCACAAACATGACCTTAAATAGAAAAGGATTTTCTTGAAATTCATTACAACATTAGAACTGGTTTGATTTGATAGAGAGCAATGATGCAATCCCATGTTTTTCTCCATTCACAAAACATTGCAAAAATTAAAAATTGTTGTCTGAAGAAAGAGAAAGATAGAGAGAGAGCACAAGAAGTATTTGAGGAATACAACTGATTTTGCATGCTTTTATTAAATAAGGTTTAATTCCAGTTAGAATCAAGCCAGCTATGACAAGAAACCGTAAGTATCTTGTCAAATAACAGCAATACGGTAGCGTTATAAAGTCCATTAAAGAGTGAACGTTAATCATCGTGCAGATCAATGACAATTGGACATTTTTTGAAGCACGAAATGAACTAGAAATAATAAAATTAATTTAATCCCCAGTATTCGCAGCAACCCTGTCTGAATTATTCATTATCCAAGAGTAGCAATCGTTTATATTTTGATATATTTGTAAAAGAATATTTGTGAAATTCTCCAAGTTAGCGTAAAATACAATGACACCACGATGACAGATGTAAGTCTTGATGATAGAGGTAAGTCATGATGCTTAACAAAAGACACATGTAAGTTGAGAACACAAAAGTAACACATTTATTCCTTAAACTCTTCGCTCAAAACTTTTTCTAACGTCATACAAATGTGTCCAACAATACGTTAACACATTCAAAAAATTGAACAAGAATGCTTACATGTAACGTACGAGTATTGAGAGCAATCATCATTTTGAATGATAGCACATTGAGATAAATCATTCACTCGAGCATCACATTTGATATTTCCAGGTATAAACGATTGATGCAACAAAGATGATAGCGACATTGAGCCTTCCACAGATGCTGCGGTAGGATAACCAAGTTTTTTACAAATAATCGCCTTTATTTTGTGCAAAAGACAGTTGTTGCAAATGGTGAAGTTTCTAAACTTCGTAATAACTTTCACGAAACCTTCACTGGGAAGATTCGAGTGAGACAGGCGTACATCCATAACTACACAAATCAAAATTATTTTTCCTTTAAATATGATCATGGCGGATATCTTAAAGTGAAATCTGTGTTTTTAGAAATGGTTTTATGAACATAGATATGTCATAGAATTTTTATATATACTGTATATATATACAAAGTTATATTCATCACAATTCATATGAATTGGGAAGCTAAACGCAGCGCTCACCTGTAATAAAACGGTGTTTGTTCTGGCTTTATTAATGATTCACTTAATCACTTAGACTTATAACTTGTCTTTCATTGTACTTTGCAGGAAAATCTCAACTTGTAAATAGAACTATTACACATTGCCAAGAATAATTGACCGAGACATTGCTTTCGTGATGTTTTGATTGATATACCTTTCCAAAGAACAATATTTGAACAATATATGAACATATCTACAGGGAGTTTGAATATCAGAAGAACACAGAAGGTGACAATAACTTAATAAAAATTATAGTTTGAAAGAATTAACCAGGAATGTTTTCGACATTCTGATGGACACAGTATCTTATATATTTACATTTAAGGTTGGTAAGCACTGTTTTGAGTTTAATTTTGACAATGTACTACAGGCAAATAAGTCGAACTGAGAACTTTACTTTTGTGTTGTAAACGCGAATCACAATAAAATGTGTCTAAGGGAATATGTGAATCATTAATGAAACCAGAACAAATACCGTTTTTTTACATGTGAGCGCTGCGTTTAGCTCCCCAATTCATATGAATTGTAGTGAATATATCTTTGTATATATATGCAGTATATATGAAAATTCTGTAGTGTGAATTCATGAAAGTATGAAAACAAATTCAATTGTAAATGTAACTTTTGGCCTACATAGAATTGCCAAACGCTTTGAAAAAAAAATTTATTTGATAAATCAAATTGACTGGAATAAGTGATGTTCCTATGAACAATATTTGCATTAACAAACTAAAAACACAAAATTGTCCAAACCTTTAAACTTAAGCAAAATATTGAGAACACAAGTTCAAATGTTACATTATATAAAGACAATAAATTAAACCATACGAGATAAAACTGCATAAACAAACCACGCCTGGTGAAGACACCCGACGAAAATTTGTGTTTGTGTCAATTTTTCTAAATTGATATTGTACATAGTATAAAAATGAACACCATACCATTGCGCATTAAGATCAAAACTTGTCCCGAAGCACTTAAATCATAAGCAAAATATAATCTGCCCATATAATACTTACGATTGCAAATTTCTCTGTATGGCATACTTGTGTCGTTACATTGATATTCAAAGTAAAGATATTTCTCCAAACCAGGACAAATAGTTGAAGGAAAGTGATTATCATCAACAGTTATATTACATTCCCTTTCACCATCACAGTAATTTTTAAGGTCACATGTCACATCGACACTACAATTGTGGTCATAACTGGAGCCACAAATGCTTCCTTTTCGAATTCCACGATATTCTGCAATTTTTATCACCATATATTGATCATTAGGACATTTGACGTATGTTATATTTTGTCCAGCACATGTTACTGATCCTATAGAAGACAAACAAAAAATAAGTAAATTCCAATGTATACAAGCTTATTTGTGAATTCCTGTAAAATAAAAGTTGATTTGATAAAAATGAACTGTGTGATGGCAGTGACTTAACTGGCGTAATTCCTATATCTGCGGCCTTGCAGTCACTTTTAATTAGAGTTTAGGTGTATATAAACTAACTGGACGAATATTTTCACTTGCCGAAATTGAATCGCTGATCTTCTTCATTTTTACAACTGACAAGTTTCAAGACGCCAGTTCCTGCTATACATTTATTATAGTGTGAAAATAATAGACCACCCCAAATCGTTTGGGTTATGGCATTGATGGCTCCGCATACTACATTAAAATTTCCATAAGGTAACCTCAAAGCAATTCTGTTGCCATGTCTCACAAGACAACTTAATCCATACACCTCCATGATTGAGCCAGATAGTAAAATTTTAAGATAAGCTCTCACGTCAAAACAACTCCATGACTCGTTATGTGAATGTCCTAAAAATCCATAAGAACACAATCCTGACTGGACATGTTTGATGAAAAATCCATTCGTATCTGAAAAAGGACAATGATACATGATAAAAATGATTGAAAAAATCACACTCTACAAAATATTTACATAAAAATAATAGGACTTTATCAAAAATAATTTAGCATACTGAATTCTATCAATATAGCAAAACACACTCCAAAAAATGCCATCTTGAAATTCAACCTTTCTAAAGATTTAAATAAGTCAATTGCTGTTGAGAGTCATTTTAAAAATATTGGCGTATGCAACAATTTAAGGCATCCAGCATGGAGCATTGAGCTAAAATGCATGGAACGCTACCTGTAACACAAAACCCTAATAATTTTTAAAGCCGAAATTTCACCCCAGACACGCAAGACTTTACCCCAGACACGAGTGTGTAGTCAATCAATTATTACTCCGCGAGAGAATCTCGAAAAATTAACGCGCGTGTCTTGGGTAAAATCTCGCGTGTGTGGCTTAAGATATGGCTTCAATTATTTGCTTGAGGTAGTGTTTCATGTATTTTAGTTCAAAGGCATGGAGACTGAAAAATTTTACAAGCAATTTGAAAAGTGTGAAAAATTCATCAATACAAATTTTACGGCGCACGGTCAGTTACGATGAAAAAGGGAGAGTTTTGGTTTGTTCACGAAATTTAGTGTTTTATTGGGCCACCTATGGAATGTGTTTCTTTTGAAATTTTTTTAGGATTGTTGGCTGAAAGCTGGTTTTTTAACTTTGTCAACTCATCTGTGAAGCTTAAACTGTATAAACTCCATGTCTTTCGTTTTTGATGAAAAAGAAGTTTATCTGAACACTGAATACAAATTTGTGCCCCAGGAACAGTTGATGATTTAGGTCAGTATTGTGCAAACATGAAGACAAGGAATATGTAATTCAATGTAAAACTGAATTGTGAACTCTGTAAGCTGTACACTCTTTTTTGGTGGAGTTCATTTACGTTGTGCTGTAAAATAGTGATCTTGATAATAAGAATACCAGAGCTGCACAATTTAAAATCCCAAACAATTTGAATAAATATCATGCCCAGGGCTTATAAAAAAACGGAAGGCTTTTTTACGGGTTTATACAGGTTTATGCATGCAGAGGAGAGATGCATACAAATATGTACAGAGATATTATACACAGACTTGATATACAAGGAAATTTATTTCTACTGAAGTGATATGTAAACATTCTCTTGTGATAAATATATTAACAAATTTTGGATTAAGTTGAGCATGGTATTAAACAATATTCAGACCGAGGTCAATTGGATATCTACCGAAGCTAAGCTAAGGGGTATAGCGCTGACTGCAGTCTGATTGAAAAATTTTTGCGGTTTGCTTTCGTCTTTTTCATGTAAATACGCAATGAAAACTCTGTGGACTGACAGTTTAATACTTTGGTGTTTTTACGTCTTTATTATCGATAATTTGAGCAGAGTAAAGCACTTGAAAATCTCGACGAAGATTCCACTAAAATATTTGTTCTAATTACAGTTAACTCATAAAAAAATTACGTCACCTACAGGTAATTTTCAATGTTTTTCAAGGTGAGAGTATATTGACAAATATCTGAAGGCTCTTAGCCAATCAGAATCGACATTGCATCAGCGTTGTATTATAATAATAAAGCTCAACTAGCATAGATCAATATATGAACACCTTAACCCTAACCCTCACACCCCTTAGCAAACAACCAAAATCTTTCAACGTGATCGTTACTAAATAAAATCAATAATCGCAAAAATAACCAAGACACGCTCTTGAGTTGAGCTTTTGCCCTTTTACAGGTTTACATTATAATATATGTATGACGAATTAAACATGTTTGGTTGTTCCGGCCGTGTATTCTATTAGTTTTGCAATTGCAAAGAAATTTCACATAAGAATATATGTACATAATGAATTAAATATAGGTCAAAGTGTCGTATGGATTTGACCGAAATTCAATATGAAGCACTATAATCACAATGGTGCACTATAAATTAAACTGACACATGAGAAACTAAAATGAACTTTGTATGTACCTTGATCATATCTTTTGTTCACGTTAATGACAACAAAACAGGTGTGATTTTTTCCACCGTATAAAGCATACTTGTAAGGGATTTTGTGTTGTCCGATTCCAAATCTACCAGAAGGTTTAGGATATGTCTTTTTTATTTTTTCATTTATGTACTTATGTGAACACGTGAAGTTTTCTGGTTCATTCCATTTTGCGGATGGAAAATAACCATAATAACGATAATAACGATCATCGGAGAATAACTTAAAAGTAAAGTTCAAAATAATCGGGCTGCATCCACATGTCCCTAACAAAAATTAAAATATCTTTAACTGGTTGTCCAGAGAAAAAGAACAAGTGGAAAGTGACACTCATTTGGCCACAAAATGTTACAAACTATTCACATTAAATCGAAAGTCTTCGTTAAACCCAAATAGACAATAACTATACAGACTATATCATATAACTGCATATATATATATTTTTTTGACTTTACCGTCATATTACTTTGCTTTTGTAACTAGACAAAGAAACAATGAACGAGATATTATGCTGCGTCATTGCTGTGAAACTAGAGTATCCAAATTAGTTGAGTACTTTAACATGCACCTTACGGATTCAAACCATTTACTTTATGTAACTTAGTTTAATGCACTTTCTAAGAACACGGTTTCAAATAGTGTTATTTAAATTAAACAGTACCTCAGTAATATAAGTGTTGTGATTGTTTGCCAAGTACACATCCAGTTGATGTTCTGTACTTACTGTAAACTAAACTGTTGTTTACTTTACCTTCAAGTGGACATATTTCATTAAACATTTTAAATCGCTCCAAAAGATATTTCTTCTCCTCAACACAACAACGTGTATGAGTGTTATTGCATTTCGAATCGATTTCAATATTGTCCGCCACGAATTTCTTCCATTCTTCCTCACAAAACTCAAGCTCTTCATTCCAACCCATGTTCATTGTGAATCCTTGTCCAAATAACAGCCATAATAACCACCATATCATTAAACTCATCATTTCATAGATCCAAGGATATACAGTAAAGCTCTAAATTATAATTGACGTTATCACAGAAGACTTTAAATTTATATTTAGATCGACAATGACTACGTCACAATTACATCTGTTATGCAAGCAGATCACGATCAAAACGTATTTTTGAGCAATATATGAAAATTATCTAAAAAATTCATTTCAGCAAAATTGTGCAGCGAGAGAAACTGTTCAGAAATAGATCGAGTTAGTCTCATATGGCTGCATGTTGGCTCTCTCAATGGTAGCCATGGTAGCTAATATATATGTACGTGGTTATAATTTTTTTAAAATAGTAAAACTTGCTTATTCTTCAATTTATGCTTTTTTCTTTTTACTCGGTTGAATCTAAATTTCAACTTCTTTTGTTCCAAGAGATTTATTAAACGATGAAAAAAATGCTTTTTAGAGGAGAGCACTAAGGAAACGAAGAAAGCGAGATCAAATTAAAATCAATGCAGATCATTTATTTTAGATACTATAGATTAAGAACCCCGGACGATTTTAAAATTCTTTCTCTGAATATGAAAATAACAGTTGTGCATGCAGAGCTTCCAATTAGCTATTTCATTTCAATTTCCCGTTATGTATTATACATGTAAAATACCTACGAAATTATAAATACTTTACAACTTTTTGTAACGCAGCCTCTATAGCTGTATAGCTATACCCGTATTGGATTTTCGTTCGAATTTTTGATTCATCCAATTAAACACATTAGCAGCTATAAAACAGCTCAATTGCTCAGTTGACTATCTCAAAAAGTTACAGTTGAAAAATTAACTAAATAAATTAAAAATTTCAAAAGATAATGGCCAAGCAATAATGTTGAAACTAGTGTTAGGTATATTTACATTACATGCACCGCGGAGCTTTTTTTCTAATGGGGAGGAAGAGCTCGCGAAAGAAACGAACGTCGATATTACGGGCAGCTAAGTAATTTTTGGTTTCATTGTTATCTTGAGATTGCTTAAATGTAGTTGAGAGAATTGAGCGCAAAATAAGATAATATATAAATATATGAATCAAAATATTAATGTGATAACCTATCCCAAATATTACATCAAGCATGAAGGTATTGTGGTAATTGAAAAAATCTTTCCATTTACTATAAGAATCAAATAATTGGGGGGGCAGAAGTTGTGCGGTGTTTGTATTAACACTTATTTGCCAAATTCAGTCGAAGAAAAATTTGCAGTTATAAATGTTAACATAGTATCGAAGATATAGAAACTTCCATTTTACTATCAACTACATCAAATCTTACCTTTTTTCTTTTATTAATTGAAAAACTGACGCAATAAGGCAACTGAAGAAATACACCTTAAACAAACAGAGACAATTTAAGATACATACAAGTCAGACGAACAACAGAGTTGTGGCTTTCGCAAGGTTTTACTTGCAACTGCTGGCCAAGGCTGTTTCCTCGAGTGTGCAGTACCGTATTGAGTATATACAAACACTCATGCCATCTGCCCCAGTTATTCAACATTTTATAGAATTTATTTTGCGTCAAATCCTATCCTTTACAAATCAAGAATAATACTTTAAATGTTTGGAAATTTGGATGCTGTGGTTGGTTGACAAAGCAATGTTATAGAAGATAAAGTTTTGATATTTTAGAGAACTACCTCTGTTTATAGCTACGAAGCAACGAAACACAAATAATGCATCTAATGTGGGCAAACACAGCAAAACAGGTTAATGACTTCAAGTGCTCAATGACGAAAAAATATATTGCTCCGATAACGTATTTTAAGTTTTTGACTATCAAATTTACCAACAGTAAATTCAATTTTGCTAACAGTCATTAGCAAAATTTTACGTCCCAGCCACAACAAATTGTGTCGGACCGAATTATACAGTAAAATTTACTATTTGCTGTTATAATAACAAAGCTTAACTAGCATAGATCAATATATGAACACCTTAACCCTAACCCTCACACCTCTTAACAACCAACCAAAATCTTCCAACGTGATCGTTTTTGAATAAAATCAATAAAGCCGAAAACAACCAAGACACGCTCTTGAATTGAGCTTTTACTCTTTTACAGGTTTACATTATAATAAATGTATGAGGAATTAAACATGTTTGGGTTTTCTGGGAGTGTTTTCTATTAGAATTGATGTGTTGATGAGAAAGCGACGTGTCATTCGGTCATGTATGCAGGAAGGAAAACCGCTTTTTATGAGCAACTTTTTTTGTAAATTAGAGTTCTATGTGGAAAAATTTTCGAGAGAGATTTGATGAAATACACAGGAAGCTAGGGAACGTTTGTAACTAAGTGGAATGAAGCTGTGGAAGTTAGCAAAGAGGTCACTGAGAGTATAGGTTTGCTGTAAACGGAAGGGGTGAATTTTCATTTTGTGTATTTATTTAAGTGTGGCAGCTGCAACGCTCACAGATAACTAATATCCTGCCCTACGTAATCGAGCAATTTTTCTCACATAAACACATGTGGAAACACCCCCAACCTTGATGACTGTAAAATAATTTTCTCTTCTTGCGATCCATACAAACTCTCTATTCGTGAGAACATTCTAATCACAAGCCTTCACCTAAAGTCCTAGAGAGTTCTATTCCACGCTACCCATTTAATTGCAATTTATTGTGCTTACTAACTTTGTAATTTATGTAATGTTTTCGACACTGTCTTCTTTTGTATTCTAGCCCCTTTATGTAAATAAGATTATTTACATATAAGTAACATATCCTATTAAGAATGCAATAATATACATTACTGTCTGAAGATTTCTTAAGTAAGGACAAAACGTTACAATAAATTTCATTTTTGAAACTGCTATACTTTTGGCTCAACTTAAAGACGAACAAGAGTCATGGCCTTCGCAAAGTTTTTTTCGAAACTGTTAACCAAAGCTGTTTCCTCCAGTGTGCAGAGTTGTATCGAGTATTTATTAACACTCATGCCATCTTCCCCAACTGTTCAACGAGTTTTTACGTGTCAAATCGTATCCTTTACGAATGTAGAGTAACATCCTTGCTTTATACAAAAGATAGGAAATTAGGACGCTGTGATTTGATTAACAAACCTTGTTAGAAGATAAAATTTTCAACAATTTAGAGAAATATGTTCATACAAAGTAAATAATACTAATGCATAACAATATTAAGTGGGTAAACACGCCAAAACAGATTGATGTGCTCAAAAACGAAAAATTATATCGTTCATGCATATATCTTAAGTTTTTAACTATGAATTTTACCAATACAACATTCATTTCTCTTACAATGAAGAATACTTTCCATTGGTATTATTAAGGCATCATAATGTGATAAAATTGTGCAATTCAAGGCTTCTTGACTTGTGTAATAAATTATTGAAGTAGTTAAAAAACTTGCAATGATAAAATGACTAATTGTACATGAAAAACAATTAAAATAACACCAATCCTTAGAATAAAATAATACTGGCATGTCGTCACGAGCAAAATTTTCTGTCACAAATATTCGAATTTTAGGCAAAACAACAAAAATTTACGACATATTACAAGCTGTTTGTTTATTGTCTTCAAGTGTTTGTTTGCACCATGGACACAAAGACAGCCGCACGTCACAAATATAACGAGAAATGACGAGAAAAATAATGCTTCGCCTTAGCAGTTTTGGTAATTGAAGCAATACACAATTGAGTCCAGCATTGTATTTTAAAGAATTAAAAATAAAATAGTTTTGAAATTTACTGATCTTGAAGTTAAAAGTGTTCTATATAGTATTGTCTGCTATCAAATTTAAAACCGTATCACCTTTTGTTGTCCCTTATTTCGACATCACTTTACTTTGGTGTAAGACAAGCTTTATGTTCACCCATTTCGCTGGTAATTTATACACTTTTTAAAATATGCTAATTATTTTTAAAAAGTTGACTTTATGTCGCCATTCTGAAGTGAACAGGTGCACAGTCATGACGGGAAGTTTGGGTCATAGGTGTTGATGAGAAAACGACGTGTCATTTGGTCATATGTGCGGGAAGGAAAACCGCTTTTGGCGAGTAACTTTTTTTTTTGTAAATTAGAGTTCTATGTGGAAAAATTTTCGGAAGAGATTTGATGTAATACACATAAAGCTAGTGAACGTTTGTAACTAAGTGTAATGAAGCTGTGGATGTTAATGAAGAGGTCAGTGAGGGTATAGGTTTGCGGCTAATGGAAGGGGTGAGTTTTACATTTGTGTATTTATTCAAGTGTGGCAGCTGCAACGCATCCTATTTGTGTCAGAGCAAACGTCATTTAGACACAAGATTTTTAAAGCATTTTGGAATATCTCTCCTCACAGGTAACCAATATCGCGCCCTACGTAATCGAGCAATTTTGCTCACAAAAACACATGTGGAAACACCACCATATTGACGACTTTAAAATAATTTTCTCTTCTCACGATCCATACAAACTCTCCATTCATGGGAAAATCCTAATCACAAGCCTTCACCTAACGTCCTAGAGAGTTCTATTCCACCCTATCCCTTTTAATTGCAATTTATAGTGCTTCCTAATTTTGTAATTTATGTAATGTATTTTACGCTGTCTCCTTTTGTATTCTAACACCTTATGTAAATAAGATTATTTACATATAAGTAACATATCCTATTAAAGGGGTTATATCACGAATTTTAGCCCCCCTTTTTTATTAGCTTAATTGAAAATTTGGATTATTTGAAGAACTATGACATGTCGCTGGACTTAAACAGATAAATATAAGTTCCTTAATTTTGCCTCCAAAGTCGGGTACTTTTTGCGAATTTTTTACGACGCCATATTGATACTTGTGACGTAGATAGTTGAACACGTCTGTTTCCGTCAATATAATATTATATTATAGGAGGTGATTTTGTTGTCGTTTTTCTTGTGTTAAAAACAAATAATGACAGTATTTTCAAAAAAATATTAAAAAACAAGTTGTCCGGAAAGTATGGCTTCAAATCAGTGCTCAGATAATTCGAATTCGATGTCTGAATGCGTATCTGATTCGAGCTCGGAATCCGTGGGTTATGTCGAGCATTTAAACGACTTCGCATATGACGATGAACCGCTCGCAGGAGATGGTGATGAAGTGCATACTCCAGATGATCCCGATGGAATTCTCCCTGCGACCTTAGAACAACGAAGTGATGGCGTAATTCCACTCGGTGAATAGTAAGTTGTTGTTTTCTCCTGTTTGTAATATACATAAAGTTACTTTATAAACCACAATGCTCCCACGTTTCAGGTGTAATTGTCAATGCTGTCATACCGATTTGTTAGAAGGCGCATTAGAGTACAGATGCTGTAAGGAAATAGGACCAGCTTTGCAGAAAATGACATTCGATGGCAGCATTGAGAAAATATCATGCATAACACAGCATGCCAAATTTGGGCCTTTAGTTCATGAGGCTGTCCTTGAAAACGTCGGGCCACTATTGAGAGATAGGAATGGACGTGCTTATCGCCGCCAAGCATCACAATCATTAAATATGTAAGATTGTAAATTGTTTGAGAAAGAATGTTATCATCAACATTGTTTCATCAACAATAATTAGTCCAACCTTTTTATTTACTTCAGGTACTTGAGAGCTGTGGCATACAGATGGTTGATGCGATGGTTTTGTGGGTCTATGGGATGGGAGAATACTCGGCCTTTACCTGCTTGTGTTTACCACTTTATTCGGAAAGCATATCCAAGTGGTAACACAAAAGGTTACATACCATCAGAGGGGCGATGATGGAAAGGTCTTTTAACTTGTGCACTGTAGAGACTGTTGGCCTTCTTTGCTGAGTTTACAATGGTCAGGAAATATGCCTAGATGAAAACCAAATAGGAGATACATGGATGCACTATACGGTAAAGAAAATCTTTTCTTCAATGTCAGTCTGGGAAAAAAAAAGAAAAATTATATGGAATTAAATCATAGCATAAATGTAAAATTGGAAAATAGCAAGCCACATGAACTTATCTTATAAGGTCTTCACACTTGAGTGCACTGCATCCACAAAGGGCATGTTGAGCACTAAACTACAATAAAAAAAATTATTCATGCAAATTAATTAGTTGCACAATCGAGTGAGATAGTCATCTTCAATCTGACAAGTATACATACCATTCAATGTTATATTAATACTGTAATCATCAGGAAAGGTGTGTATATCAGTGCCCAGATAGGGAGGCTAGAGGGTACTATCACTTGCCTAAGGTGAACCCTCAGGCTGGTGGTGGGAAGGAGGTGCCTTACTTCTCCATTCCAGACAGGCTCCAAGCAATGTCTGACCACATTGGAGACCGGGATTCACAAATATCTTCACCAACTGCATGTAGTTCTTCTTCAAATGGCGAATCGTTTGCTTCCCCAGTGCATACTTCAACATGCTCAGCTCCATCACTAGTAGATGGTACTTCCTCATCGAGAGAACATGTTTCCATCAGCGATGGCTTATGGAGAGTATGTCGAATAATCTACAAAACATATATCGAATTTACATATGACAAAAGAAAAATTAACATAAACAAGCGTAAACTTACTTGTCTGCGCTTTCGATCGGTTATTTCGTCCTGTAATGGTTCAGGAATCCCAGCCACGTCAATGGTTGGGATAGCATCTTTCTTCAACCTTCTTTTGAGCTTGACTTGCACGCTCAAATTAAGGTCAAAACAAGAATCTTCAAATGCGCAGAACACAGACACGAGGTAGAGGAAGCCTCAAAACCCGGTCTATGTTTACGCACAAAATTTACCCATTTTCTATGTCTTCGCGGCTCTGTTTCTTTATTAGGAAACAGATGCATCGACATTCCTTCTGTTTTTGAATCATTGGCGCAACTAATTTGATTAGGTCCGCCAGCAACACAGCGTTTTCCTCCGCGTTTCTTATTAAGATTACTAGTAGAATACGCCATGTTGATATATGTGTTCAACTATCTACGTCACAACTCATTAGCATACCGATCAAAAAGTTCGCAAAAAAAATGCTGAAAATCATGACTTTGAACGTCCATAAAATCACTTTCACCAATCCAATTTCAATTATAATTGCAGATTTAAAATCACTGAAATAAGGTCTTTCAATTTAGCTAATAAAAAAGGGGGGCTAAAATTCGTGCTATAACCCCTTTAAGAATGCAATAATATACATTACTGTCTGAAGATGTCTTAAGTAAGGACTAAACGTTACAATAAATTTCATTTTTGAATATGCTATACTTTTGGCTCAATTTAAAGCCTTATGTTGGGCATTAATTTTTATCACCCAAATTTGATTTACGCTGCACACGCCTCTCGCTACTATCCTAAAAAAATAAATCGTTTGAAATTATTTCGTCCAGATAATAAAACTCACTTTACAAGTGCTCTTTCTTCACATTCTTATATGGTTTTTGTTTTGTTTTTTTTTGCGTTTTGCTATTTGCTTTACAAACTTTGTTTAAGTTTACTTGAAAATATACCTGTAATGGACTACTGGTCCATTATGAAAAAGTAAAGAACAGGGAAAAATATTTCTGAACCAATCAAAGTGCGCTGTTTAACCGGAAGTTACGCTTGCTATATTTCAATGTGTTTTGTTACATTTCAAAGAATTGACAAAGCTTGAAAAACGGGTTGCTGAATTGGAGATCTCATTAATGAAAGATTTTATGTAGTTTACATACGTAGACTAACAATTTCAATCTTTATCTACAACATTTTGGAAAATCGTGTGATTGTAAAGAGTCATATTCTTAATTGCATGCAGAAAAATTGTCGCTTATACTTTTGCTATAAACGAGATTACTTACCGCTGATCCAGAGAACAACGCAGCAATTGGATGCACTGAAATACATCAACCATTTGGACAGATTAACGAAATCTGCAAGACTAGAGATATCAAATAGAACCACCACTGAAATAAAAAATAATTTCCATCATAATAACATAGATGCAATTAAGAATACGTTTAGTTTCAATGAAAATTGACTTTCAAAACATAAGGATTAAAGTTTGTTGCATAGTTCCCACCCTCCCCTCCCACGTATACGAAGAAAGGAAAGCTTCAATATCCGTGCGATTATGTGAGACGTTAACTAAACGCACTCCATATACATGACCTGCACACAACAATGACAGCTCATTTGACTTCAGCAGTTCTTTTTAAACCTTCCACTTCAGGTAAAATTTCTGCCAAACCGTGATTATTTTTCGGTGGGGGCTATATTTTTCTGTGGCGCGTAGTTGATTACGCGTCTCATCCACCTTTAATTCATGTCCTTTAAAAATTATAAACATAAATGTATTTTTAATTATTAACATTTATTACTGTTTCACTCGTTGTACATTTTATCATCAAGTTTTTATAATCTGTCATGATATAGAATCTTGAGTCCTTAAATAATCTATATAGAGTGATATCACTCGATAGAATACAAACAAAATACGAATACGAACAAAAATCTACTATACATGTCAGCCTGTCCACTTCATGCTTTCTACATCAACGTTTTTAATCTGCATAAACTAGACAGCAAAAAAATGAATTTTATGATAACGATGTCATTTTTTGTCACGACTGAATCCAATAAACCTGTTTGCCAAACCTGTCGCTTTTGGTTGTTTACATTGGTCAAATAGTGAATATTTTCTAAAGATAAACAGAAAACTTATTACAGCAAGTATTTCTCGAAAATTCAACGGCAACGGCCGCTATAAGGCAACGGCCGACATGGATTGTTTGTTTCGAACTCGTGATTAACTTCGATTAAATTTGCTTTTTGTTTACAACTTTTGATCTTAGTACTCAATTTAATATATTCAAATAAAAAAAAATTACTGATGTTGTACTATTTAAAATATTGACAAAATTCGTAGTCAGCCCTCAAATTTGGTCGTGCTATGTAAATTTTAGATCATTATCATTATTCATTTCTTTAGAAATCTACAGTTTTTACAGTAAGTGAACACTGAAAAATTTACATAGAACGACCAAACTTGCGGGCTGGCTACGTCACTGCTATGTTCTGTTCCAAATCGCTTTTAAATCCTAATCAGAATTAATTACTCTCACCAGGTTTCCGAACAACCTGGAATCTACATGTTTACACATGTAGATTGTCCAGTTTAGTAGAGTCCTGAGAAGGACTGTTGGTGTTGATTTTATCTTACGTTTCGACAACCTTAGCGGCAGTAATCGTTAGAGTCAACGATGTCAAAATCTCAGTCAACATCAACACCAACAGTCTTTTTCAGGATTTTACCAACCTGGACGATCTACATCTACAAACATGTAACGATACTTAACCTGGACTCTCCTTGTTAAATCTAAAGTGAATATTTAAAAGTTTTTTATGTTGAATTCTATTCTTTCATGGAAGACAAAATTGAAGAACATGTAACATTCCAGCAAACATCTAAAAAAATTTTCCAGAAATTTGTACAGTATAAAAATTCAATTTCCACCTATTTCCGAGAAATCTGAGTAGTCGTCGACAACTCCAATACGCAGTTCACTGCACGGTAGCAGAGTTTGAATTGATCCTAAATAATAAAAATGTTATAGAAATAATCAAAAAGCTAAGTACATCACCAAGGTTAGTCGAGCTAAACAAAATTCAATGTGTAAGTTTCCAGAAACATTCTGTTTCGAAACTGTTGTTGACGTTTGACAAACGGGCAACAGACAGTGGCGCCGGCAGAATTCTTTTTTTAAAGGGGGGGGATATGGAATTTACACCTGGAATATGTTATTTACATAAATTACGCAATGTTTTATTTCACTAAAATTATCAAAACTCCTATATAAAGACCTTCAGTAAAATATATATCAGAGGGGAGGTCGGCGTCTATCCATCCAGGCGTAAGTTTATTATCAAACTTAAAACTTCTACTCTCAAAAAACAAACAAAATCAGCAACGAAAACAGCCGAGCAGCCATTGGCGAAGCCAGCAGGCAAATTTGTATTGATATGTAAATAATGTTGACTAACTATTACACAACAGATTTCTAAAGAAATAAATATGGCTGATGATTTACATAGCACGACCTACATAGCAAGACCAAACATGCAGTTAGGCTACGATACTCAGAGCAAAGTTCGCATACAAGCACGAATTATAAAGTTGAAATTCGGCAATAACCATACAACATATAATGATCGTTAATGTGTCGAAGTGTTGATATATATAAAGTCAAATCATTTTTTTATGGTCTATTTAGTTGAGGCTGCATAGTTCCTAAATGAGAATAGCGATCTGTGTTGGTGCAATTGGGGCTTCATGAGAATTAGAAAGACAAGCTTACCGCTGTTTCGACGAACTGCGGGCGTCTATTCCGGATCAGCTTAATACATTGGAACGCATCCATCGCTTGGACAATTTTGACTCGGTCGACAAGATTTGAGATAGCAATATAGGTTCCAGGTCGACCTGCTCCATCACTGGATGCAAAAAATAATATTATAGGCACTTTTGAGTTTGGAGCAAATTTCTTGTAGAGATCTCCACACAGACGTTCAACCGCTTAAGTTTAACCAAACAGAGCAAAGAAACGGGGCTAATCAATTGCTAATATTCCAGTGACACGTGTTTACCTGCACACAACAATGACAGGTCCCTTTACATCAGCAGCTCTCTGTGAATCTTCAACTTCAGATAAAATTTCCACCATACTGTGAACATCTTTAGGAGCGTCATGATCCGGCCACGATACGTAATGAATCATGCGGACCATACGACCATTTTTAATGTCCTAACAAACAAAAAATAGGAAATGTAATAAATAATTTAGTCTTAAAATATCGGAAATGTTAAAAGTTGCGTCCTTATCACACTCCAGTCAAGTGCCTTAATCAAGAATGATCCGAAGTTAAAACTTCAGTTCTCATATACTCCATTCTAGTGTCTTCGTCAGTAGTGATTTCATGTTGAAACCTTTGTCATTAAATAATCCAGTCTGGTGTCTTCTCGACGAGTGATGTTATTTTTAAACTAGTGTGGTCTTTAGATACTCTAGTCCATATTGTTTTCTATCAGAAATACAAACTTAAACAGTCAATCATCATGTAGCTACTTATGTCTTATGCATACATGTAACACCATTTTAACTAAAAGAATCAACCCAAAATAAAATCTTGTCAACTTAATGCTGACTCAAAAACTCACCATCTTAGGCGAAACAATAAACTTTCTCACGGTAATGTCATCTTTTGTTACAACTGAATCCAACAAGACGGTACTTTTACCAAACGATTGAGCTCTGGCTCGTTGCGTAGGCCAAAACATTGGATATTCTGATAAATACCAAAGCAAATCAAGTCATCCAAAAAAAATTAAATTTAGAGACAGTATATCGAGAAAGCTACAACCCTAATGAATCACAATATAATCAATGCAAAATTCCTTTTCTTTCGATTCATCACAGACCTGGTTGTTTTCGTTGAGTTGATTCAGCATAACGATGGTGCAAGACTTATATTGACAAACCGTCCTCCAAAAGTCGTTAATGGTTTCTTTTAAAGGTGTCTGGGTGGCAATAAAATAATTCTTGCCAAGGTAACCCTAAATCAACGCACGACATGTTCATAAAGATTTTATAGGTTAAACACCATACGAATATAGTTTTCTGCAGTGTGGTCGTGCAGTTTCGCTTACTGGCTTTAAAATATCCCAGGAACAATAATAAATTCTGTAAAAATATTCACTCAGATGTTCCGTAAAGCTACTTACGTCAACAAAACACGCGTTAATGTAGTCGGAATTCTCTATTTGATCCAGGTGGCTAAGGGGTGGACGATTAGATTCACCTTAAAAGAAAACAAACTATCATGGACTGGCTGACGGTACAGTGATAATCAAAGATCGATAATTAGGGGAAAAAGGGGGAAGGATATTATTAAAAGAAGCAACCTCTTCATCAATTTTATGAATCCACCGCCGTTCCTTAAGTGGACGTGTACATTTTAAGCGACAAGATACAAAACAACGAAGATGCAATACGGAGTACAAGTGAAAGTTTAACTTTGTCTCCTTCAGACGTTTTATGTAAATATTAACATACTTGGATATATTTTAGGATTGCGATTTTTTTTCTTGTTGTCATTCAAAAGTGCAGCTTCACAAACTTCTTCAGGTAGTTCTGTTGTAACTGATTGTAAACGCTGTTAAGAAAATCATCAACTTTGAAATGATGAAGCATAACTCCTCAAAATACAAAAGTCTAGCGTCTTCCTCAAAAAAATAACCCAGCGCCTAAAGCAGAGTACTTATATACTCCAGTCTGGTGTTTTCATTAGGAATGATCTGATGTTGAAGCGTGAGTTTTTATGTACTCCAGTCTACAGTCTTCATCAGGAGTGATCTGAAGATCAAACTTGAATTCTTATATTACATACTACAGTCTAGTTTCTTCATTACGAGTGATCTGATGTCGAAACTCGAGTCTTTATATACTCCGGTGTAGTTTCTTCATAAGGAGTGATCTAATGATAAAATTTAAGTCCTTATTTCTTACTTAAGTCAAGGGTCTTCATCATGAGTGATTTAAGTTGAACTTGACTCCTTGACAAACTTATAAACTCCACTCCAACGTCCTTATTAGAGGGAATGTGATTTTGAAACAAGAATTCCGAACAAAATACAGCAGTGTAAAATAATGCAAGGTAACAATCTATTGTACAATCTTAAACTATGCATCGCCATTTTATTTACTTCAAATATTTCTTCAAATCCAGTTCTCCCATTCCCAAGCTGTTTTGATAGATGTACGATCTTGGCCTTGATTTGCATAGCCTCAATTTCATTCACTCCACATTGGATATGCTCCATAATAGCGTCATAAATAAACGTGTACTGATCCTAGATTGGTTAGAACATATGGCTTTCTACTCAAAATGATAAACTATGAGGTACTAGCAATAGTTAAAAACAAACAAAGTAACGTGCGAAAAATTGATGTTTCTCAAAATAAAGATGCCATCTTAAGAACTTCATTATCTTTGTGTCAAAAAGATTTGCAAATAAGGACAGTGATCACACCACCAGTAAATTTGAGGTAGTTGATTCTATGTGAAACAAATTATACCTACAAGATTGAGATGGAAACTAGAGCGCATATCTTTTAACTCTTCAATCACAACAATGCACACTTTCTCTAATGGCGTCTACAGCTCAATGACAGAGAACCAAATCTACTAGACACGTGACTCCGCAAAAATTCTATATTTACGAGAAAGGCAAGCCGCCATCTTGAAAGCTGGAAAACCTACGCTATTCAAGATTAAAATCTGCATTTCGAGAGTTGATATACAGTTGAAAGTTGCTAGTCTGGGTTCAAATTTTAAATTTTTTGATAGGATTGAGATTTTAAGCCTTCTTTTAACTTATCTTTCATTTTGAGTTTTGGTTTTTGCCACCTTTTAAGATGGCATCCTTGCCTCACCTTGACACAGTTGATAGACATAAAGAGCTAGGATCGCGTTCAAAATCATTGCATCACCTCGATAATTGTGTGTGTGTGTGGAGAGAGGGGAGGGGAAGATAATATTCATACATGCAAATTATTATGTCTAAAAATAATAAATTTTACAGCAACTTAATTTGGCTAAATAGGATAAATAAACATGCTCTTCTTTGGTTTTGCCACTGCTCTCCCATGGAAAAACACTCCTTGAATACAGCCCAAGTAGAGATGTCACTGCTATGGACAATTAGGACATGCTGTCTACAGCACCTTTATACATAAGCACTTTCGCCCAACACCCCCCCCCAACATTGATACCTACTGAAGTACTGTATGTTTAGAGATGTCCCTATTATACTTTAATTGACCTACCGCTGTCTGCACCATGTTTATTCGTCGCGATCTCATCTCTTTTACAAAGCCAAATACATCAATATTCGTTTCATAATCATCGTCAAGATCATTGAGGATTTTATCTATGGCAATAAATACTCCCGTACGACCAACACCAGCGCTATAGAAAGAAAGCAAACGGAAAAATTTACTAGTATTAAAGACATACAACCTGTAACGTTTCAATGACCTAAAATATGCATTATCCATCCACTAAAACGAGCTCGTGTACCCACACAAAAATCAAGTGTTTATAAAATTGGGTGAAGCACACCAAGTGGGCAATTTTGACAATTTTCACTTCTGCTACAACACTGAACTACCACTGAACTGCTACGACATTGAACTTCCCAGACAAATAAATCTCGTGTACTATCAATAGTAGCTTACTATGACTTCACACGTCAGCAAATACGTAAACAATAAAACTATGTTCATGCATGTTATTAGTGCAAGCTTTTAATGCATGGATTTCAATATACTATAAATAGTCCAGAGAGAGAAGACGTTTGCACCATTTCAAACCGTCCTCCCTCAACTAAATCCTACACTGGTTGCCAAGCATATAAAATTCCTGACAAAAAAGGCAAAGACAAATAGACAACCGTAAACAGCAACAAAATTCAATTCAAACATGAGCATCCCCAGGTACAAAGTCGTCTTGCATTCATTCTTGTTGGCATTATAGTCAAAACTAATGCAGCGAGGAGATAGGCTAGTACTTTAAACTACACATGTTATCACTATCCCACAATGGAGGATTATATTAAGAATAACTACACATGTTATCACTAATGTACGATGGAGGATTATTAAGATTTACCACACATCTCATCACTAAGCTACAATGGAGAATTATTTTAAGATTTACTACACATGCAGGGCCGAACTAGAACGTTAATTGGGGGGGGGGCTGAATATTCATATTTAGCACTGCCCGACTGGTTTTGTTTGTTAGCGATTTTAATTTCAGAAGAAATCAGCAGGAAAAAGCCGAATATATGAATATTCACCCCCCCCTCTCAATTAACGTCTAGTTTTGGCACATGTTATCACTAACCTGCAATGGATGACGGGAAAACCGGCTTTTGTCTTGTGATAAGATTTGAAATGCTTCCTGAATGTCAATAGTTGTGTTGGATGACGAGGCACGCCATAGTCCGGCCATGAAATGTAATAAAAATGCTGGACTTTGTGATGCTAACCATCCTATGACAATAACAACAAACATTAGGTACTAAAACATAAAGGTAAAAGATAAAAAAAACATCAGCGTCCATTTTGTCCCCTCGTCGCGTGGAACGACTGACGACATTATTCCTTTCACAATAATTTCAAAGTGAAAACAAAGAATAGATTTTTTGACAAAGAACGGCACACATTGTGATTGATACATTCCTAAGGGTTCACTCCAAGCTTATTACATATGGGTCTGTCAGCAATGAGGTCGACATACCATACTTCTGTTGCAGAACAAGGTAAAAGATGACGTGGACAACAGCAAAATGAAGGTAACCGTTAAAAATATAGGAAAATTCTTTCATAAGGATTTATTTTGCAGTCTTTCAGTAGTATCAAGAAAGACGTCTTTGTAAATTTCTGATCAATTAGTGCATGCAAGGGTAAATCAATAATATAGAAAAACGACCTACCAAAATTCCCTCTTACACTTGCAGCCTCATGGAGGTTTGCTCTTAGACTGACTTACCTTGCTCACTACTGCAGACCTCATGACGTAATCAGCAAAAGCTTTTGTCTTGGTGATGGTCACCTGGATCGTACCGTATATCTTGGATTCATCTGGCCAATACTTTTCACATTTCACCTGAGAGGAAAAGCACGATGTATGTACAATTTGAATCATTTAATTCGTTATCATAATTCAAAATGACACGAAAATATATATTCTATTAAATAAAGGTTCTCTAAAACGGTAGTTATTATTTGCCAGTTTGATTCTCTAACTGTTGGCGCTTTTATGGTATGTAAATTAAATAATTTATGTCGAGACAATGGTCCCACCAAGTGTAACGACGTATGCAAGTTTTTAACCAGATTCGGACGGATGAGTTTAAACAACTTTTAAGCTAAATAAAGCAGGTGAAAGAGCCTAAACTCGTTGACCAAACCTAATGAAAAAAAGCATATGTATGGCCACACTGTTCAAACCTTTCCCATTTCTTTTAATGTCGTCAACATCACAATAGTTGGACACTTGTGTTCGAATATCATCCTCCAAAAGTCGTTGACTGTTTTGGGTTTGGGTCCTGAAAGAAGGAGAACAAAGAGAAGGGATTTCGTTATAGCATATAGACGATAAAATGTAAGTCAATTTAGTTTGATATAAATCAAAAAAAGGATAATGATGCATGGTCGCCTCAAGTTCTTTCGTTCTCGTTCAACGATTTAGTAATGTACGTATTTACCTAATTAGAATTCACTATTCAAATTTTAAGGTTGTATTACAATTAATACGACCTTACAAGTCGCATGTACTGGTAGTATTAGCTCAGAATAAAAATTATACAGAAGAGCCACTCAGGTGTGCACCGCATCCTTACGGCCGCCATCATTCCAGCAAGATACTTACGATTTTTCACTTTTTTCCAACCGGTGCAATTACATGACGTCATTTCTTCACAATGAAATCGAAAATATTTCATTAGAAGAAATGACGTTCGGTCATTTTAGTGGTTGGGAACAAGTGAAAAGCCCTAAATATCTTGGTGGAATAATGGCGCCGATACGCGCGACACAACATGGGCGAGGACAAAAATATCAAAGACTCCGATACGAGGGACCCTTTCGTAGATTCCACATTCTCTGGTATTACAGACAATCCCGAATGTTGCTTTGAAATAATAAAGATCACCACATAGTATTCCCGAAAACACAAAAACATTTAATTTACACAATACTTGAAAGTATGTGAAACACTGACTAAAGCATTTTGGCAAACATAGTATTACAATCTAAGTTTTACTCAACCTCCCTTGGCTTTTGTGTACATTTGATAACTAAGTAAGGTCACTAACATGGTTTTATTTATACATTTGATAACTAAGTAAGCTCACCAACATGGTTTTACTTATACATTTGATAACTAAGTAAGCTCACTAACATGGTTTTACTTATACATTTGATAACTAAGTAAGCTCACTAACATGGTTTTACTTATACATTTGATAACTAAGTAAGCTCACAAACATGGTTTTACTTATACATTTGATAACTAAGTAAGCTCACTAACATGGTTTTACTTATACATTTGATAACTAAGTAAGCTCACTAACATGGTTTTACTTATAAATAACCTCTAACAACAACGCAATAATAAGTAACTGCATATCTTTTGACACTAATGTGGTACACATTGAAATTATCGAATAAACAATCATTACGTATTCAAAACATCTTTTAGAACTAGAAAAGGCACGTGCGATAGTACCTTTTTACATACCTTGGGTCGCGATGTAATAATTGTCAGTTTTGCCCTGAAATACAAACGTAGAAACGTTCAACAACAATTGCATGGAGTCTTTGGGGCTGTTCCCGGCGAGCCGAGTTTCAGTGAGGCGTGAAATGATTTCGAGGTATTGAAAGGAGTCGAAACTTCAAGCGTAAAAATTACAACTGTTTGTTTAAGCGCCACAAGTCATTCCTGTTGTAATTCTCAAATTAGGCCAAATTGGATCAAACCAGAATATTGTGAAATTGCCAGAGAAGATTTATCTGATAAGTATTGAATCGTTTCCATTAGCCAAAATCATTTATCGCTTGACTGAATCCCGTCTACACCCGGGCTCATGTAATCAGCCCCTATATCAGTAAGCAACCATTCACTGACATTATTCGAACGACAATCAACATACAGGATGTGCCAAAACAACGGAGCCCACACAAATAATTATGTATGTATTAAAATGAAATCTGCACAAAATAATTTAGTCTGCAACAGCTATTTTTCCGCCTGGTTGATTTGTTTACACGCTAGTCTGTTAATGTTTAATGCTAATCACGGAAAATACGATTACGTTGTTGTAGCCGTTTTAACCTTGTTAGTTGTCGCTTTGATTTTACAAAGATTTTGCGTTATAAATTGAGATGAAAGTACGTGTATGATAGTACGTACTTTACCTTGCTTTGCTTCAGTAATACTGTGTACAAACACCGTGAAATCCCAGAGGTGCAGAACTGTCAAGTTCATCCAACATCTGTGAATGCTATAGTGATAGTATTGTGCATAGTAACTTCGGCACATATAAAATTAGTTTGTGTGGGTTCCGTTTTTCGGGGGACACCCTGTATATGGTTAAATTAATGAACTAAAGCTTTGTAGAACACTTACGTCGACAAATGAGGCATTAATATAGTCAGTTTTTTCATCTCCGGAGAGTATCACACGAGACTGGTCGTCTAAATGAAACGGCCTTCGTTAGTATTGCATGGTTCTTATACTAATAATCAATATTGCTCCGTTTTTATTAGTAGCAAGATTTATTAGTCAATAATCTTACATCTGACTGTAATTCAAACAGTTTTTGTCATTATGCTATAGTTTTTTCGTCCATAATCTTTCACATGACTGTGCTTCCACACAAGTTTCGGAATACTCAAAGTTTTTTGGCTAATAATCTTACATGTGACAGCGTTTCCATATCGCTTTTTGTAGTATTGTGAGGTTTCTTCGCGACATCCCAATTGGACATTTGACCATTTGGTAAATCCTGTAAAATTTCAAAATCATTTAAGTGTTACACCAAATGTGTGACAGTGTCAAAAAAACGTGTGAAAGTTTGGGTAGTTTGATTTAACAGACGATTAACTGTGACAACGGAAAATTTCCTGATATTTTGTGATAACTTGCAGTTTTACGTACTTTTTATATACGTAAGTAGATCGTTTGTATAATTATTACGAACTTTTAATGATAAGCTCGCGTCTCTTACAACGAAAACCTAAGTAAAACCTTTCAATTAAATGCGCATGCGCTTAACTCAATGATAGCTGGTGCAACATTACCTCGAACTCTAACTTTAGATCCTTCATGTTGTTATGCTTCAGTTTCCTACCGTGTCTCTCGAAAATTGCTATGGGAATTGGTTGACGATCCTTGGCGGTAATAGCTTAAAGGGTACAGAAAGGAAAACATCAACAGGAGAGAAAATAAGTATGTAATTATCTTTAAAGCAAGAACGTCATTTGAAAAGTTTACAAGCGCAATGAAGAGGGTTTACTCTATTTCAGTAACAAATGTAAATAATTTTGCTTGTATCAGACGTTAAGAGTGTGAAACTAAGTTAACACAAAGGAAACAAAGAAACACACATGAAACTAAGCAACGCACATAAAACTATAAGTAATATACATGAAAATATTAAAACACATGAAATTCACACGCATTGAACTAAGTAACATACATGAAAATATTAACACACACGAAATTAACACGCATTAAACAAAGTAAAATACATGAAAAAATTAATACACATGAAATTAACACGCATTGAACTAAGTTACACGCATGAAAATTGACACATGAAATTAACTAACACACACGAAACTAAGTAACACAGAGTAAAGCTCTAAGCTATTGCAGACAAAAAACTTGTTATCACGAACAGCCACAAAAACATGTTAAAATACACAACACACAAACAGATTTTGGGAATCGAATTTATAAAGATTACCAGCATTGCTCTCATAAACTTTCTCATCATTCAGGACACGAACTGATTTATCCTGACTGTTCATCGGGCTATTGATGTTATCAGGGGTGTTGATATTTCCAATGTTATGGCTTCCAACAAATACTTGATTCATTACAGATGGTCCGTTATGTCTGACCTTTTCTACATTTGATTTTTTAACGGACCCAGAACGTTTCCTTCCATTACGCCGTCTAAGAGGGGGAAATTTAAAAGGTGTTGATACCAAACAGAAGCTGGATTTTAATTCTGGAAGATGGAAAACTGGTACGTAAATATTTAATGATGGAAAACTGGTACGTAATTATTTAATGTTGGAAAACTGGTACGTAATTATTTTATGATGGAAAACATGTACGTAATTATTTAATGTTGGAAAACAGGTACGTAATTGTTTAATTTTGGAAAACAGGTACGTAATTATTTAATGTTGGAAAACTGGTACGCAATTATTTAATGATGGAAAACTGGTACGTAATTATTTAATGATGAAAAACTGGTACGTAATTATGTAATGTTGGAAAACTGGTACGTAGTTATTTAATGATGGAAAACTGGTACGTAATTATTTAATGATGGAAAACTGGTATGTAATTATTTAATGTTGGAAAACTGGTATGTAATTATTTAATGATGGAAAACTAATACGTAGTTACTTAATGTTGGAAAACTGGCACGTTAAAAAATCCCAAAGTAATAATCATACCTTCTCACAAACAGAATGACCAATACGACAAGAATAATGACCAAAATAGCAGCCACAACTGCACCAGCAATAGCTCCAGGATTTCCGCCGTCTATAAGATGAAAATGAATGATAAAAAACAGAACGCAAAAAAAACATTAAGTGTACAAGGGGTGAACAAAAATAATTCTATTTTAATGCATCATAAAATCGTTGTAAACATTTTTTCATAATTTATCTCGTAAGTAAGAAATGGTTATAATTTGCGCTTTTGGAACAAAAATGGCGGCAAGATGCCCATGTGACCCATTCTATCCAATCACCTTTATCATAATGCAAAATGCAGAGAACAGCACAACTCTTACAAATACAGGGCTCCGATGCCAACTATAAAGAAAACATGGCTACCTAAAGGTATGAATAGATAACTTGATATTAAAGTACATTATATTCATTTGCGTGTGTTCCAACATCACAATGATCACAAACGCGCAAGTGGAGTTGTATTAAAATATCTTACAACTAACTAGGTACATGTGATGCAACGTCCAAATTCCAAACCATTTTCCACTTTTAAACATTATGGAGAACTTACATGCAGAAGTAAATCGTTCGATAAAAATTAACTGAAAACAACAAATGATGTCCAGCCTTTTAAATGCTGCAAAATGGATTAAATGAATGACCAACGAAGCCAGTCAAAAACATGACATGTTGTTCTATACCAAAAACATGCGCGCAACATTATTTTCTTTAATTGCTTCGTCAAAGTTATTGTTATATATCCTTGACATCTTAGTTTGTTAATTTCTAATTTCAATCTTTTTCATTTCTACACATGTCTCAAATTTGACAAGTTAAAAGTCTTAAACGCTCCTTTTCAATGGGTGGGGGTGGGGATGAGGGTGGGGATGAGGGTGGGAATGAGGTTGGGCACTTTTTGCATATACTGCAGTTCTTTGCACATTGCGTGTACATGTTATTGATTATAAACAGAACATGCAATTTCTAACACATTACATATGTCTGTCATAAATTCCTTTCATTCTCTCATTGGTCGAATATGCGGTAAGGAAATGTTTTTAATGAGTAAGTATCTCGTAGATTTGAGTAAAACAGACATTTTCAAAGGGAAAAGAAAAGTTTGTAAAACATTTTCAAGGTTTTTAAGATTTGTTAAAAATATTTCAGAGGTTTGAAAAAGATTTTGGAAAACAAAGATTTGATGAAATATGCTCACGTGAGGTTAGTGAACGTTTGCGGAAACGGAACCCAGCTGCAATGCATCGTTCAATAAATCACCCAACCCTAATCATAAATGTGTCAAAGCGTTGGTAAACATCACAATACCTTTTCAAACATGAAGTGAATAAAAAGAAAATTTTTTATGGTCTATTTTCTAGAGGCTGCATAGTCCATTAATGAAAATAAATCTTGGTGTTGGTGTATTTGGGGCTTCAGAGAATAATAAAGACAAGCTTACCGCTGTTTCAACGAACTGCGGCGTCTATTCTGGATCAGCTTGACGCATTGGAACGCATTAATCGCTTGGACAGTTTTGACTCGGTGCACAAGATTTGAGATAGCAATATAGGTACCACAGCGACCTGCTCAATCACTGGATTAAAAAAATAATCTTTTTGTGCTTGTAGCAAATTTCTTGTAGAGAACTTCACTTAGACCTTAAACAGCCGAATTATAACCACGAGAGCGACGGGGTTGATCAATTGCTAATATTTGAGACACACGCGTTTTACCTGTACATAACAATGACAGGACATTTACATCAGCAGCTCTTTGTGAATCTTCAACTTTAGATAAAATGTCCACCATACTGTGAACATCTGTGTCCATCATGAACCGGCGACGTTATGACATGAATCACGGACCATACGACATTTTTTAATGTACTAAGAAGCAAAAAATAAATAAATGTAACAAATCATTTAATCACAAAGACATTCTTTAGAAATCTATTGTTCTTACGGTCAGTAAACACAAAAATATTTGTTTGTAAATGTAGATCGTCCAGGTTAGTATAGTCCTGAGAAGGACTGCTTTTGTTGTTGTTGACTGACGTTTGGACAACTTTAGCGGTAGTCATCTTCAGAGTCTTCATCTCTGAAAATGACTACCGCTAAGGTTGTCGAAACGTCAGTCAACAACAACAAAAACAGTCCCTCTTAGGACTATACTAACCTGGACGATGTACATTTACAAACATGTAACGATACTCCCGAGTTCAAATCATTTATTTTACAAAAATATTTGCTGCAACTGCGTAAAAACACTATTGATTATGGAATTGATTATTTTTCGGGTGGGCGCCATAATTTTCTGTGACGCGTAGTTGATTACGCGTATCGTCCGACTTTAATTGATGTCCTTTAAAAATTATAAACATATATGTATTATTAATTTTTAACATTTATTACTATTTCACTCAATGTACATTTTATCATCAGGTTTTTATAATCTGTCATGATATAGAATCTTGAGTTCTTAAATAATCCATATAGAGTGATATCACTCGATAGAATACAAACAAAATACGAAGTAATACGAACAAAAATCTACTGTACATGTCAGCCAGTCTACTTCATGCTTCCTACATCAACGTTTATAATCTGCATAAACTAGACAGAAAAACAATGAATTTCATGATAACGATGTAATTTTCTGTCACGACTGAATCCAATAAACCTGTTTAACAAACCTGTTGCTTTTGGTTTTTTACATTGGTCAAATATTGGATATTTCCAAAAGATAAACAGAAAACTTATTACTGCAAGTATTTCTCGAAAATTCATAGTGTTATATCTGGAGCAATGCAAATCCCAATAAATAAAATCTAAACACTAACCATTATAGGAGAAACGAAAGATCGTTTTGTAAAGAAATTTGTGTTTTCTTTACGACTTCTAAAAATAAATGGTCATCAGGTTTCCTAACAACCTTGACTCTACATGTTTACACATGTAAATTGTCCAGGTTAGTAGAGCCCTGAGAAGAACTGTTGGTGTTGAATTTAACTTACGTTTCGACAACCTTAGCGGTAGTCATCTTTAGAGTCAACGTTGTCGAAACGTCAGTCAACATCAACACCAACAGTCTTTCTCAGGATTTTACTAGTGATGGGCGATACCGCTAGTATCGATTCGATACAATATCGATTATTTTTTCTTAAAAGTATCGAGGTATCGATTACTAAAGCGATTACTTTCTCCAATTTCGAAAATAAACGTCTGAGTCGCTTGATAAAAATCTGATAACAGAATTGCTAAAGTGTGGCCTTATATACCTTAACAATACGACGAAATTTTTATTTTTCTTGTCTTAAATTACAAACTGTCATAACAATATTAGGAGTAACGATAAATTTTCAGAAGATGTATGAATTCGAATAAAAAAATTGGTTACATGTTATTATTCTGAAGGCGAGATCTCGAAGTGTATTAATAAGTAAAAGTGAATAAAATATTAAAATAATAAAACAGAAAAAAAACAACATGTTTGTCAAAACCAATAATGAAAAGGAAGACAAACTTACATGATAATGAAATTTGAAAAGTAATCGAAATCCTTTTTCGATACCACGCAGTATCGACTTCTTCCGGATTAGGTTCGGTATCGGGCGGTATCGATACCAAGTAATCGGTAATCGCCCATCACTAGATTTCACCAACCTGGACGATCTACATCTACAAACATATAACGATACTTAACCTAGACTCTCCTTGTCAAAATAAAAGTAAATATTTGAATGTTTTTATGTTGAATTCTATTCTTTCATGGAAGACAAAATTGCAGAACATGTAACATTCTAGCAACCATCTAAAAAAATTTCCAGAAATTTGTACAGTATAAAATTTCAACTTCCACCAATTTCCAAGAAATTTGAGTAGTCGTCGAACAACTCCAATACGCAGTTTACTGCACGGTAGCAGAGTTTGAATTGATCCTAAATGATAAAAATGTTATAGAAATAATCAAAAAACTAAGTACATCACCATGGTTGGTCGAACTAAATAAAATTCAATGTGTAAGTTTCCAGAAACATTCTGTTTGGAAATTATTTTTGATGTTTGACAAACAGCCATTAGACAGTGGCTCTGGATGAAACCTATTTTTTATGAGGGGGAGGGGACACCTCAGTAGGTCGGAGAAAATTTCGTATACAAGCACGAATTATAAAGTTGAAATTCGGGCAATATCCATACAACATATAATGATCGTAAATGTGTCAAAGTGTTGATATATATAAAGTCAAATATATATATATATTGAATATATGGTGAATATATATATATATATATATATATTCACCATAAATGAGAATAGCGCTTTGTGTTGGTGCAATTGGGACTTCGTGAGAATTAGAAAGACAAGCTTACCGCCGTTTTGACGAACTGCGGGCCTCTATTTCGGATCAGCTTGATACATTGGAACGCATCCATCGCTTGGACAATTTTGACGCGGTCGACAAGATTTGAGATAGCAATATAGGTACCAGAGTGACCTGCTCCGTCACTGGATTAAAAAAATAAATATTTTTGTGTTTGTAGCAAATTTCTTGTAGAGATCTTCACTCAGACCTTAAACCACTGAATTATAACCACGAGAGCGACAGGGTTAATCAATTGCTAATATTCCAGTGACACGTGTCAAAGTGCACACTCCATTTACATCAGCAGCTCTTTGTGAATATTCAACTTCAGATAAAATTTCCACCATACTGTGAACATCTTTAGGAACATTATGAGCCGGCCACGATATGTCATGAATCACTGACCATACGACCTTTTTCAATATCCTAAGAAGCAAAAAATAAATAAATGTAGCAAATTATTTAATCATAAAGACACGAAGGAACAATCAAGAGCAGAAATCCACTTATTTATTTTGCAAAACAATTAATAATATAAGGAAGGAACATTAATTAAGATAAAGCAAACTTTTAAATAATCACAGTAGCGTAACCAGTCTGCAGGTTTACTCCGCTTTGTAAATTTTGAAGGATTACCAATGATAAACTTAGTAATCACAAATAAACTTTTAATTTGTCTAATTAAAAGTTAATACTCT